CAGGGCCCGGCCCCGCGGCGTGTGCCTAGCCGTACCGGTACAGCCTCCTGCCAGGGGCCGAGCGAGGCAAAACCCGCAGTCTGAAGGCACGAAGAAGGGTGGGCTTTCTTTGTGTGAGCTCTTCGAGCTTGAGCTTCCTGAAGCAGGACGGCCACCCGCGCCTCGCTGGGAGCAGAGTCCACAGCGAAAGCCGAAGAGTGTTGAGATGGGGCCTTCTCTTGCCAATCAAACTTCCCCCAGAATAAAGCTTTCTGGAAGAATTACAAGGCCGTATGTGGTTTTTCTGGCTCAAAGGCTCCTATTCAATAGCCCTCAGGTGTTGGCATGTGGGACATAAGGCATCCCAGCCCTTGCCCAGAAGAAAAAAGTGACAAGTTTAACCCACACAGCATGTAACGGCGTCCTAGCACCACTACCCACAGCAACGACTGCATCTGTACTCTACATCAACACCCAGTTAAAAATACAGTTAAAATACAGCGGTTACTTTTGTCTTGTTACTATGAACTACAGCTCTGGGGACTTACTGAGGGACTCTTTTAATAACAGCCTGTCACCAATTTAGGGTCAGAGCTCCTCTGAGATCCCTCTGATTACAGACAGATGGGGCCAACAACTTGGGCTAGGTTGCAGCATTGGTTTTGATTTGTGCCTAAATCAAGGCTAAAGCTCATCAGCTGTTCTTACAAGGGTCTGGCTGCAGCTTAGAAGCAGAAAACAAAGATCTTCGGGGTTGCACGTAACACAAAGCCCAAACCTTTAGGGAGCGTTTGGATGCCAAATATGATTTCAAGCTTTATATTTGAGCTGGTAGTTCGGCACAGAGCATTTTCCACCTTCAAAACACTTCACAGATAACTCAAGCAACACTACACAAAGGTAGCTACTTTTTGCACAGGATACAAATTGTGCCAGCGAGCTTTCGAAAATAACACCCTTCCCCAAAGTGATTTTACCACTTTCTGCTCACGTTTGCAGCAGAAAGACCCCTCCAAAGCTCCTTCCCCTGTTTTTGTCATCTTTTCAGGACCCTACGTTCCCCAGGCTAAAGCCTTCTGTCCACAGCCTCAAGCCAAGCACTTTTCAGACAGAGAAAAAACAACAGTAAAAGCTACAAGGTGACGATTCTGCAACGCACTCCTTACCTATGCTTAGGTAACAAGCAAGCCCCCTTAGAGGACTCAGACATAAAAAGTGCACCAAGGACCAAACCTGGTTCCCTTCATTCACATGAAAAGCTGATAGCCAAACAGTGAAGACAACATCACACTGGCATTTGGGAAAAACAGGAGGTCATCTGGCTCAGATTACATTCTTGTGGAAATATAGAGCTGATTTCCAGCTCTTGACTGATTGATCACTTTTTTTTTTTTTTTTGACTTGGATGTGTGATGTGGGATAACGGACCATGCAGAATGAATTCACTGCCAAGATTTTATTGGCAAAAGGGGAGAAATCCTATTTGTGATAAACACATGGATTTCTTTCCAATAACAGCATCTGCCTGCATCTCTCCAACTTGTAGAAAAGAAGTGTCCACAAATCACACCGCAACCAAATCCAGGACAGGTGCCAAAAGCAACATTTGAACTTCACTGTGAATTAAGGTCTAGGGCAACCTGACACTTTCCCTCTGATGTCCAAAGGGACATGTCATAAAATCAATTCCTTTCATGCAATGCTGCACAGTGGGACTTACGTAAACAGCAACATTAAAGCACACGCTAGTCCTTTAAACCATGTATACTCGCCAATGATAGTAAGATCATCTAATCTCTCCAGGCTGCACTCAGTATTTAAGATCTCCTCAGCAGTCTGTTTGGCACTCTTACATGTTAATGCTAGTGTGCTGGTCAGACGTGGTGCCTACTCCAATTAAGATTGTCTGCTCTTGGTTAACTTCTGCTGCCGTTACAATTTGTTTTGGAACATCAGCCTGAAAAACCAGTTAAACAGCCACTGAAAGATCACGTACTGCACTTCCATACCTATCAATGAGACTGAACATCCAGTCATTTATGAATTCATTTATTTTGGCAATGGTTTATCAGTGCCAGTGGAGTTTTCTTAGTAAGGTAGTTTCTTATATCCAGGACACTAGAAGGATTACTGAGTGAGCTGGCAAAGAACCGAATATCTTCACAAGTTAAAGGTGTATAAAGCTGTCTTCCATATCCCACTGCTGTGTGGGTGTGCATCAAGGTAATTTATAGAAGATGGAGATGGAGAAGTTGTTGGAAGTATTACTAGAAGCGCTTTCGTGCCTTCTGTTTAGCGAAGCAGTATGAAAGCCTGGCAAATGTCGAAGCCACAGGGTGGGCTGACCTGATGTTCAGCAAGACATTAGCAACAAAAGTCCAGCAGCTGTGCATCAAGCACTCAGATGGATGACTAGCACATACCCAGCTACAAAGCAGAGGATGAAGTGGAGCATGGACCAAAGAACAAGTGTCCAAGAAAGCTTTTTCAATGATACTGATAAGACACTTGGTTGAGTGCAACATGATAGTCAGGGTTTTAGCTGCAAATTAGCAACAGTGAAGCAGAAACACAGACACAGAGGAAGACATAGTATTTTGAACAGCAATGAGGTAGCCTTGTGTATGAAAAAGTCAAAATGCATGCAGCAATTGCAAACAGGAAGGTAAATTTTGCCTGAAAAGGTGCATATTTTGTGCAAACATAGTGACCCTTCCCTCCATGCTTATTTTACTCTTCTCCATTCCCCCATAAAGATGTTTATGTACCTTGTGCCAAAGAAGCCACACTATCAGTCATGACCCTCATCTCAGGCTTTCAGTCTCATGGAAACATTGAGCTCAGACTGAGACCCTTCTATGAAAATCAAGACCCTAAACTTGTTAAGATACTCTGTGTTGAGAGCAGAGAAAGAGTCTAAAATACTTGCAGTTGCCCATGCCGCTAGAAAGCTCATTAGGTTCTGAATTATCTACAATTTCCCAGGGGATGAAGCCCCAGGTATACATTCTATTGCTGTATCCTACACCGTAAGTGATAAAGGCACATCTGACTACACACAAAACCAAATTTTGGTGATAAGGTGGCAGAGAGTGAAGAAATGCTCTAAAGAGCAGGGCTTGCTAATTCTGCTGCAGGGAGGGTAAAGGTGGTGATGGCAACTGCTGCTTCTGGGATGGCGAGCATGACAGAGTCATGTCTGGCACAGTACAGTTAAACAACGCATGCAGAAATGTGTTCAATATACCGCTCTGTACAGTACTCGTATTTTTCAAAGAAACAATACAGTGCAGTATTAAACTCCATTAAAGAACCAATGTCATGAGCAATATATGTAACTGGTAATACAAGTAACATCAACTAAAAAAGCATGTAAACAGTAAACCCAGTTCTAATGAAATTAAACTTACAGTTTTCCCTAGTGAAACGAAACTTTCTTGTATGCACAGGACCTGTTCCTCTTCAACAATAATACTTAGTTTTACTTCTCTTGGGGTAGACTGTGCCCAGCAGTCTCAGTGTTTAAAACTTCAGCTGCAGGGCTAAATACAGGTTTCTAATACACTCTTTGTGGTTATAACCATTCCTGAGGGGAAAAAACAACAGAACAAAAACAGTTTCTGCAGTACTTGCTGCAACTGACTGGACAGGCAATATTAAGAAAAAAGAGCTGAAAAGATACAAGTGGTAAATATGTCAGGTTGACGGATATTGGTAGATGATAGAATATAGTAGATATGACAGAAATCACACAGAAACAACTTTAAAATTTATCTTTATTGGTGCAGGTAGCTATGAATTGGGCATAATCACACCAGTAAAAGATACTGCTTTCAGGGCAATCTACTGCCAGGTAACTTTTTTTTGAGGGAGGCATTAAATGAGTAACTTCTTTCAAGTCCACTTTTTTAATATTAACTTCCTCCTTGTTGTCTTAAAACACATTACAAGTATTATGAATTAAGTCCTTTATTCAGCGGAATCAGGCAATACTTTTTGTAACTCTCCATTTACATAAGCAGAAATTATGGAACAGAAAATGATTTTCCCACAAACCAAATCATCTGTCATCAAACTAGAAATAGATCTCCCATTTTCCAATTTCATACTTAAACCACAAAGCCATCCTTCCTCCTTTCTAAGTATTTCACCCTCACTGAGGCTAAGAAAGTTAACCACAAATACCACACTACCCCAAGTCACTAAATCATGCTGTGATGTGAGTAAAACCCACTTGATTTGTAGTTAATGGCATGCATGATCATATTCTGCATTTGTGATGCTAACGTAACATGTATACTTCTTGCAAAATGGAACAGAAGAAAAGAATCCAAGTGCAAATTATCTATGAAACTTTCAATGTCATTGCTTTTCCTCTGGGGCTACGCAATTCT